CCAACTGCCCTCCCGCTTGCCCCGCCCCCCTCCCTGTGGCCTGGGTCCACTGCACCTTTGTGCTCAAACCCGGGACAGGCCACGCCCCGTGTGGCCACGCCCACTTTAGACCACACCCTCTTAAAGCTCTCCCATTGGCCCGATGTCTGTCTCTGGCTTCCCACCCCCCACCCCACCAGTCCCTGGTTAACCAACCACTCATTGCCAGGGAGCCCGCTACTTGCCCCTGCTCCTGCGTGGGTGCCCCAGCTAACCCTGTGGACCCAGTCACACCCCTTTCTACCCATGCTTCTGTAGTGCTACCATGCTCTTTACTGGCCATGTCCAGCTTCCTCCTGTGTCAGGCCAGGCCTTGGAGTCACCCACTTTGGGTGCAACATACACTCCAGTTTTTCATTCTCTTTTAGTCAAGCTGAGAATTAGACCTCGGGTCTCTCACATGCTGAGCTACTCTTTTATACCCAGCAAAGATAGCATCACTATATTTTATACCCAGTGTCTTAGAGTTTCTATTGCTGTGGTAAAACGGCATGACCAAAATCAGCTTAAGGAAAGGGTTTATTTCATCTTATACTTCTAGGTAACAATTCATCACTAAGGGAAATCAGAGCAGTAACTTAAGGGAGCTGGGACCACCCACATCAACTGTCAATCAAGAGAGTGCACAGGCTTGCCCATAAAGTTAGTGTCACAATTGTATACCTAATGGAGATAGCATCACCTCATAATCCTATGCCTAGCAAAGCTATCTTTTGAAAAGCAAAGATAAAGTAATCCTTTTCTATTTTTTGTTTCATTTTTTAAAACAAGATTCAAATTGTAGCCAGATTGGCCTCAAACTGGGTATGATCCCCCTGCCTCATCCTCTGGATACTGAGATTGGAGGCATGTGCTACACTTGACACAATGATGACTTTTTCTAATGTTAAAAAAAAAATGTAAATAGGACCAGAATAGCGTTCAATGATAGATGTATGAGGGCCCAGGTTTGGTCTCCAGCACTGGAAGAAAAAGATTAAATGATGATCTATTACTAGTAGACTTGTACTAAAGGAGCAGTTAAGGCAATCCATCATATCATATACAGAGAAGGTATAAATTGGGATGTACGCAACCCAAGGAAGACCTGGATAGGTTAAAAATGTTCACCAAAAGCCTTAAAGCAACCACTGACAAGAAAATGAAGATGACAACATGGGATTGCAGTGTAAAGAGGCAGAAGAGAAAACAGTAGAAAGGTGGGCACAGGGGACAAATGGGGAATAAACAGATGGAAGGTTTAAGTCCAACAAGATCACATAAAATAGAAATGATTTAAATGTAGAAAAGCAGGCTGGAAAGATGGCTCAGGAGTTAAGAGCACTTGCTCTTGCAGAGGACCTGGGTTTGGTTCCCAGCACCTATGTGGTGGTTCATGCCATCCATAACTTGAGTTCCAGACAATCCAATGCCCTCTTTAGATCCTCACAGACACAAGGTATGCACATGGTGCATGTACTTAACATACAGGTAAAACACTTACACAAATAAATCTAAAAAACACTAAATATGGAAAAACAGTGGTTACCAAGATGAACACAAAGCAAGCCCTAGAGTGCCTATATATAAAATCCTCTAGGCTGTTGTGTGAGGCACAAGCCTTTAATCCTAGCACTTAGGTGCAGAGGCAGATGGATCTCTGAGTTTGAGGCCCCCTAACCCACATAATGAGGTCCAGGCCAGTAGGGCTACACAGTGAGACTCTGTGTCAAAAGCAACCCCTCTAGTGACAAATATGGCTTACATCTGTAATCTCAGCACTTAGGGTTGCAGCAAGGTGAAGTTGAAGACAGCCTGAGTTACAGAGAGAGTTCCAGGTATCCTGGGCTACAGAGTTAACTTTTTCTCAAAAACAAAACAAATAAAGTAAATGTTTGTTCACTCCAATTAGAGAAGCATCAACAACAGACCTGTGAAACCACCCCTCTTTCCATGAGGGAATGCCCAATTTTGGTAGAATCTCATGTGGTGGTCATAGCTGCTCTGCAATTGGACAGGAATGGTCATGTCAAGCTTAGAGAAAATAGTTAAACTACACATTAAGATACAGGGTGGTAACAGCACCCTGATCTATGTAAACAATCCCATGGAATCTGTTAAAGAAAAATACCCGGGAAATTCAACCAGATTGCAGAATTCAAGACCATGGAAATGTCAACATATTTCTATATACCAACAACAAACTTGTAGACATTTGCAACTATTCAACACTGCACTTAGGTATAAATCTAAAAATATGCATTAGGAATATGGGTGCTAGAAGTTATACTCTGTAGAAATTGAAGATCTAGACATTTACTGCTGGAAAACCCAAGAGTAACCATACAGTCTCCCAAAAGTAATAGGTTTGATGAAATTTTTATTAAAATCCAGGAAATTTTTATTGTAGTTACAAATACAAACTTAATCTACACTTAATGGAAAGACAAACTTGAATAGCTATGAGTTTGATAAGAGACTGTCAGCAGTAAGGGTACCTGCCAGCTAGCCTGATGACCTAAATTCAATCTCTAGCTTCCACCTGGTAGAAGGAGAAAACTGATTCCCACAAGTGTTCCTCTGTCCTCCATACATGCCCATGGTACATGCATGTTGACATACACTCACACTAAATAAATATATTTTATTAGTTTGATAAGAGAATAAAATGGAAAGAATGTAGTATTAGAGGAGAAATAATCATATAGATTAATGAAACAGAGCAGAGAGCTAAGAGCAGTTCCACAAGCAGGGTCAGTTAACTACACAAAGGTGCAAAACCAACTCAGTGGAGATGATCCCTCCAACAACGGGCAGTGGAAGGGAATCACAACATAAACCTGGAGTCTTACATGAAGCTTCATTTATAGGAGAGTGAAGGTAAGTCAGATGTAGTGTCACATGCCTTTTGGAGGAGGAGGAGGAGAAAGAAGGAGAAGAAGAAGAGAAAGAAGAGGAGAGAAGAAGAAGA